CCCCCCCCCCAAGCTCCTCCTCCTCCTCCTCCTCCCGGGGAAAAGAGCTACGCAGCCAGGCTGCAGTCTTGGAAGGCGGCGCGGGGCGGGTTGGAAGTTTGCAAAGTGTGTGTGTGTGTGTGTGTGCAGTCAGCAGCCTCGTTTGAGTCTGAATTTCCTCTTTTTTCTTTTTTTTTCTTGCACGGCTCCCGATGAGTGGCAATTTTTAAAAAGCGGGACAGGGATGCCATTTTTCTTCAGGGCTTGAGGGGGTCTGGAAAGGCAGGAGAGCGAATTAAACGGCTTGGGGAGCGATCGGGACGTTGTCTTCGCGGCTGAGGAAATGGTGGCCCGCAGTCCGGCTTCACGTCCATCCGCCACAACGGGGAGAGGATGCCCTCTCCCCTCGTCCGCGGAGGGGAGTTGCCAGGAGTTGGTGAAGCTGCAAAGCCTCCGTTCCAACGGCAGAGGCCGCTCTAGCCTAAGGAAATGAAGGACGCGACCCGGATTGGGCTCTGGACAATCGCAGTGACAGCCCTGCTGCGGAGTACAGTTTAAGAGGCGCCCTGCCGGATCGGACCAGAGGCCCATCCAGCCCACCGTTCTCTGTTGACCCAGTGGCCTCTAGGAAGCCCCTGAGCAGGATGACTGCAACAGCAGCCTCCCAATAAGCTGATACAAAGAGGCGGGGGGGGGGGGGGGGGGGGGGCTGTGGTACCCGGGGGTGCAGATACCCATCATGAAGGGTAGCCATTGCCAGCCCGTCCTCTGTGAATTTGTCCACTCCCCTTTTAAAGCCTTCCAAGTTGGCGGCCCTCACCGCATGCCATGGCAGCAAATTCCATCAGGAAACTATATGCTGTGTAAAGAAATGTTCCTTTTTGTCTGTCCTGAACCTCTAGCACTTCCGCTTCAGTGACTGACCCCAGGTTCTAGTATTATGAGAGGCGGAGGAAAGCTGTTTCTTTTGCTCTTGAAATCGATACACTTTCCTAGGTAAAGGTAAAGGCTCCCTTGCTCGAAAGCCAGTCGAGTCCGACTCTAGGGTTGCGGTGCTCATCTCCGTTTCCAAGCCGAAGAGCCCGCGCTGTCCGAAGACGTTTCCGTGGTCATGTGGCCGGTATAACGCCAAGGCGCACAGAACGCTGTTCCCTTCCCACCAAAGTGGTACCTATTTATCTACTTGCAATTTCTTGCTTTTGAACTGCTAGGTTGGCAGGAGCTGGAGCTAGAGACAGGAGCTCAATCCGTCGTGCGGCACACTCAGGTCTTGAACTGCTGAACTACCGACCTTCCACAGCCTGCAGTTCAGCGTCTTAACCACTTGAGCCACCGCAGCTCTTAAACTTTCCTACATGTTGTTTATTTAAAATACTTCTACCCTGTTTTTCTCCCACGCTTGGGGCGCTCCCGCAGCTTACAAAATGAAATAGACATAAAACTGCAATTTAAACAAATAAGACACACAACTCCAAAATGGCCCGGTAGGATCTTAAGGTGGGTCACAAGGACGGCGGGGTCGTCCAACAGAGCTCACAACTATGGTTGCCAACTCCAGCCTGGGAAATCACTGGAGATTTGTGGGTGTGGCCAGTAGGAGGAGGTATCTCAGGAGGGACTTTGCCTAGAATCTAGGGTATAGCATGGAGTTTGTTTATTTATTACCCCGCCCTCCTAGCCATGGCTGGCTCAGGGCGGCTTACAACAGAATAAAAACAGTACTAAATAATATAATAACCGTAAAACCATATAACAATTACAACATTAAAAGGTGCTAACAAATAATAATCTAAATACCGTTAAACAAATAACAGTTTAGCTTTAATATTTGGGATGGCGCTCAGCTTCAGTGCCTTCCTAGTGGTCGATCCCGATCTAATATTGTGCGTTGAAGGGCAGGTGGACAGAAACATAATAGTAGTCCGGTTACTATGGATGGAAACCATTGCCCTCTACACCATCGAACAAGTATGAGGGCAGTTTGGGCAGGAGGGGCCAGAAAGAGCCCGCCAGTTAGCCGAAAGCCTGGTGGAACAGCTCCATTTTACAGGACCTGCGGAACTGTAATAAGTCCCGCAGGGCCCTGCTCTCAATAGGGAGCATGTTCCCAGGGCTCCTGCATCCCCTGTGCGGATGTTTAAGGGGCAAAGCGGATGCTTTTGGCGGAACTGCATGGAGGTAGGGGTGGATGTGTATTTCTTTCAGGGGTCATTTCCTGCAGGAGCGCACAGGAGCGGAGCTCCGGCAGTAAGGAGACCAGGGGGCGGACACATGCAACAAGCCCCACCCCCTGCTCCCAGCAGCCCTCAGTCAGAGCAAGCAGCCAGGTAAGTCCCCTCCCCAGCCCGCCTTCAGGTACAAGCTGTCCCTCCTCTTTGAGGACAGATCTGCACGTTCTCTACCCCCCCCCCCCAATAGCTAGCAATTCAAAAAAGTCCTGTGGGCCCTGAGGGAGCCTGAGCGGTGGGTGTTGCCTTCTGACACACTTCCCGTGATGTCAGGGTGTGTGGCATATGCAAATAAGTTATGCTAATGAGTTATGCTAATGAGCTCCTGCACCACTTTTTCTACGAAATGACCCCGATTTCTTTACCTATACCACATTTTTCTCTCCCATGGGGAGTAGCTTACAACATCATTCTCCCTTCTTCCAGTTTATCACCAAAACAAGTGCCAATGCTCCCTCTAACCGGTGGAGTCTAGTGAGCAAAAATTCTGCC